GGGCACAGAGTTCTCTGAGGTGCAGCCTTTGATTGAGGTTTGTGCTGAGTTGGTTTCATCTGGTTCCCCCGAATGCAGGGATGAATTTTTGCCACCATTTAGTGCAGACCAGGTAGAGTCCCTGGTGTGGTTATTAGAGGATGATGTGTGGGTTACTTTCTGGAGCGTTATTCCACATGTTCACCACAGACACTAAGAGATTGTATAAACGCAGTACAGTCATTGACCAGACAGGCTTTGTGTAAGCTCAGCTTTGTTCAACCCATACTGCAGACATGGACAGACTTGTTGCACCCAGCCTCAGTCAGCTTACAAAGACCCAGTCCTGCTTCTAATCTATTTCCTCAAAACTCTATTCCTGCATTCCCAACAGCTCCTCCTGCCCTGCTATCTACCGCATGTCAGTACCCTGTTCCCACTCGCTGCACCTATCCTGCCTTTAACCCTGTAAAAGAGCCCTCTGTAGCAACTGCTCCCTCTCCTGTTCCATCCTCCAGTTCTTCTCTGTCTCCAGCTGCTCCATTCGTTTGCAGACCTGCGTTTACTTGCAGTGCTCCAGTAGTTAAAACCAGAAAAAAGCGAAAATTCTTTCCAACCAATACCATCCTGCCAGTATCCAAACCGGTGAGCCTGCCTTCCGTGGTTCAGCCTGAAACCTCTACTCGGCCTGAAGCCTCTACTCAGCCCTGATGCCTCTACTCAGCCTGATGCCTCTACTCAGCCTGATGCCTCTACTCAGCCTGATGCCTCTACTCAGCCTGATGCCGGTCTCTTCAGGCCTGAGCCTGATGCCTCTCTTCAGCCTGATGCCTGTACTCACTGATGCCTCTACTCAGCCTGATGCCTCTACTCGGCCTGATGCCTCTACCTCACTGATGCCTCTCTTCAGCCTGAAGCCTCTACTCGGCCTGATGCCTCTACTCTCGGCCTGAAGCCTCTACTCGGCCTGATGCCTCTACTCGGCCTGAAGCCTCTACTCGGCCTGATGCCTCTACTCGGCCTGACTCGGCCTGAAGCCTCTACTCGGCCTGAAGCCTCTACTCGGCCCTGAAGCCTCTACTCGGCCTGAAGCCTCTACTCGGGCCTGAAGCCCTGCTGATCCTCTACTCGGCCTGAAGCCTCTACTCGGCCTGATGCCTCTACTCGGCCTGATGCCTCTACTCGGCCTGAAGCCTCTACTCGGCCTGAAGCCTCTACTCGGCCTGATGCCTCTACTCGGCCTGATGCCTCTACTCGGCCTGATGCCTCTACTCGGCCTGATGCCTCTACTCGGCCTGAAGCCTCTACTCGGCCTGAAGCCTCTACTCGGCCTGAAGCCTCTACTCAGCCGACCCTCTACTCAGCCGATTCAGCCTGATGCCTCTACCCAGCATGATGAACTGATCCAGCCTGACGATCCTATTAGGCCAGTTGACTCGATGCCCGCTGTTGATCCAGATGATCCGGTACCTGATCCGGTGCCCGCTGTCGAGCCAAATGACCTGATGCCTGGTGACCCAGTGCCCGCTGTCATACCTGGTGACCCGATGCCCGCTGTCGAGCCAGACAATCCGGTACCTGATGACCCGGTGCTCACTGTCGTGCCTGTTGACTCGGAGCCCACTGCCTTGCCAGATGACGCGGTGCCCGCTGTCGAGCCAAATGACCTGATGCCTGGTGACCCAGTGCCCGCTGTCCAGCCAGACGATCCAATGTCTGACCCAGTGCCCGCGGTCATACCAGTTGACTCGGAGCCCACTGCCTTGCCAGATGACGCGGTGCCCGCTGTCGAGCCAAATGACCTGATGTCCTGGTGACCCGATGCCCGCTGTCCAGCCAATCCTGATCCCAGTGAGGGTCCAGACCTGTCGACCCAGTGCCAGCGGTCCGGCCCCGCCGACTCGCTGAGGGCCCGAGACGGTGTCGCTCCTCCTGGGGGTCCGGCGCCCGCCGCCCCGCCTGAGGGCCCGAGACCTGTCGCTCCGCCTGGGGGTCCGGCGCCCGCCGCTCCGCCTGAGGGCCCGAGACCTGTCGCTCCGCCTGGGGGTCCGGCGCCCGCCGCTCCGCCTGAGGGCCCGAGACCTGTCGCTCCGCTGGGGGGTCCGGCGCCCGCCGCTCCGCCTGAGGGCCCGAGACCTGTCGCTCCGCCTGGGGGTCCGGCGCCCGCCGCTCCGCCTGAGGGCCCGAGACCTGTCGCTCCACCTGGGGGTCCGGCGCCCGCCGCTCCGCCTGAGGGCCCGAGACCTGTCGCTCCATCCTGGGGGTCCGGCGCCCGCCGCTCCGCCTGAGGGCCCGAGACCTGTCGCTCCGCCTGGGGGTCCGGCGCCCGCCGCTCCGCCTGAGGGCCCGAGACCTGTCGCTCCGCCTGGGGGTCCGCGCCCGCCGCTCCGCCTGGGGGCCCGAGACCTGTCGCTCCGCCTGGGGGTCCGCGGCGCCGTCCGCTCCGCCTGGGGGCCGATGCCTGTCGCCCCGCCTGGGGGCCCGGAGCCCTGCCGCTCCGCCTGGGGGCCCGTCGCCTGCCTGCACCGCCTGTCGCCCCGCCTGGGGGCCCTGATGCCTGTCGCCCCGCCCGGGGGCCGGTGCCTGCTCGCCCCGCCCGGGGGCCCGGTGCTGCGCTCCGCCCGGGGGCCCGTGCCTGCTGCTCCGCCCGGGGCCCGGTGCCTGCTGCCCGCCCCGGGGCCCGGTGCCTGCGCCCGCCCGGGGGCCCGGTGCCTGCTGCCCCGCCCGGGGGCCCGGTGCCTGCTGCTCCCCGCCCGGGGGGCCCGGTGCCTGCTGCCCGCCCGGGGGCCCGGTGCCTGCTGCCCCCCGCCCGGGGGCCCGGTGCCTGCCGCCCCGCCCGGGGGCCCGGTGCCTGCCGCCCCGCCCGGGGGCCCCCGCCCTGGGGGCCCGGTGCCGCCCCCGCCCGGGGGCCCGGTGCCTGCCGCTCCCGCCCGGGGGCCCGGTGCCTGCTGCTGCCCGGGGGCCCGGTGCCTGCCCCCCCGCCCCGGGGGCCGGGTGCCTGCTGCTGCCCGGGGGGGCCCGGTGCCTGCTGCCCGCCCGGGGGCCCGCTGCCTGCTGCTTCGCCTGGGGGCCCGGTGTGCCTGCTGCCCGGAGCCTGCCCGATGTGCCTCTGCCCCGCGGAGTCCTGCCCGATGTGCCTCTGCCCGGAGTCCTGCCCGATGTGCCCTGCCCGGAGTGCCTGCCCGATGTGCCTCTGCCCGGAGTCCTCCCGATGTGCCTCTGCCCGGAGTCCTGCCCGATGTGCCTCTGCCCGGATGTCCTGCCCGATGTGCCTCTGCCCGGAGTCCTGCCCGATGTGCCTCTGCCCGGTGCCTCTGCCCGATGTGCCTGCCCGATGTGCCTCTGCCCGGATGTGCCTCTGCCCGATGTGCCTCTGCCCGGATGTGCCTCTGCCCGGTGTGCCTCTGCCCGGTGTGCCTGCCCGGTGTGCCTCTGCCCGGTGTGCCTCTGCCCGGTGTGCCTCCCCCGATGTGCCTCTGCCCGGAGTCCAGCCCGGTGTGCCGCTGCCCGGAGTCCTGCCCGGTGTGTGCCAGTCTTTGATATCCCGCCAGTTACCAGACCCGGGCGGTGGAACATTTTGCCCAGCTAGGACTGTTTGGAGCGTCCTGAGGCCGCTCCTTGGGGGGGGTACTGTTAGGAATGGACTGGCCAGCAATGGTGGGACTCACCTGCCTTTTGATCTGCAGTACCAGGGCTGGCCAGCGGGTGCTCCCAGCAATCAGAGACTCAACCTTTCAGCCAGCTAACACCTGGAACTGATGATGCTGGGGTATTTAAGGGATGGCCAGACCCACAGACTCTGCCTTGGTGTTGTGTTTGTCCTGGGCCCTGTATCTGTCCTGCATCCTGTTTCTGTCCCTCTGCCTGACCCTCTGTACTACGCTGCTTGTTACCTGTTTTGATCTCTGGCTTGTGACCCTGACCATCCCTCTGCCTGACCCTCTGTACTACGCTGCTTGCTACCTGCTGAACCTGGCCTGTGACCCCGACCATTCTCTGCTTGCTCCCCCTGTACCTACCTGCCCAATTGATATTGACCCGGCCTGCCTGACGACGCTTGCATTGTATGTACTGTTATCTGTGGGTGGTTGGTTGGTTTGTTTGCACTGTATTATGTTTAGTATTGCACTGCGTTTATGTTTGTATGGTTAGTGTTAATAAATTGTATTGTTTATCACATATCTGAAGTCTGCGTTTCCCTGCATCAGTCACACACCTCTGGTCATACCTGGGAGCCCTGACACCCAGATAGAAGACAATATACTTACTACTCATGCCCATATAAAACCTTCCACCGCATGGACCATACAGTGGGGAAAATAATTATTTGATATCCTACAGATTTTGTAAGTTTGCCCACTTACAAAGAAATTAAGGGTCTATAATTTTATCATAGGTGTATTTTAAATGAGAGAGACAGAATATCAACCAAAAATCGAGAAAAAACACACAATAAAAATGTTATAATATGAGTTGCAGTTCACAGAGTAAAATAAGCATTTGATCCCCAAACATAAAATTACTTAATACTTGGTGGAGAAACCCTTGCTGGCAAGCACAGAGGTAAGACATTTCTTGTAGTTGGTTACCAGGTTGGACACAGGAGGGATTTTGGTCCACTCTTCTTTACTGATCTTCTCTAAATCCTTAAGGTTTCTTGGCTGTCGCTTGGCTTTTTGAAGTTTGAGTTTCTCCATAAATTTTCTTTAGGATTTAGGTCTGGAGACTGGCTAGGCCACCCCATGACCTTAATGTGCTTCTTCTTCAGCCACTCCTTTGTTGACTTGGTGGTATGTTTTGGGTCATTGTCATGCTGGAAGACCCATCCATGACCCATCTTCAGTGTTCTGGCTGAGGGAAGAAGGTTCTTATTCAAGATTTTACAATACATAGCCCCGTCCGTTGGCCCCTCAATGTGGCAAAGTGGGCCTGTACCTTTTGCAGAGAAACAGCCCCAAAGCATAATGTTTCCACCTCCGTGCCTGACTGTAGGGATGGTGTTCTTAGTAAGCATTTTTCTTCCTCCAAACACAGCAAGTCGAGTTAACTTCCCTGGCGGTATGATTATTTCAGATTTTTGGTGCTGAAAGCGGTACCATTATTTTGCATGGAAATATGTCATTTTTTTATTGTAGGCCGGTAATTCTTAGGAATAACTCACTGAAATCTGTCCGAACAAGAGTCTAGTAAACATCCCGGGTAAGATAAAACTTGAAACACGAAATCATAAATTATAATTTAATAAATAATCATAAAAAATAATAATATAATAATAAATTTAATTCAATAATATAATCAAACCAAAAACACTGAAATTTGAAATATAGCGCGAAGTTCGCACATCACTGAGCAAAGTCGCAAAATCGTTTTCAGTGTCTGATGACGAATTTCTCCACGAATAATTATAACTCAATTCTGCAAGTAGTTCTAATTTACCATCGCTGTTCTCTAGCTGGTCTAAAACCGCTTTTGACCTAAAGGGACGCTTTTTGGACGCCATGGACATTTCTCAGTTTCCAGGAAGAACAGTAAAAATGAAGGCAGGGCACAGGACAAAGCACTAGTGACAAAATGTATGTGAAATGGTTTG